TAAGTTAAATTTTTTCACGATAATTTACGTTCAATTAGTTGAGTGTCATGCAGTGGCATAGAAAGGTTAGGTACGCAGTATAAACAGAGCCGTTGACTGGAATGTGTCCGCCCCACTAGCTGCATCGATAAATGCCCCACATTTTTTTTTTTTTTTTTTTTCAATTAACGATGGTGACTTTCAGTTGCAGTTAAAAAAAATTTAAAAAATTCGTATTTAAAGTTAAAACTTTCAACTTTCGATTAAGTGTATTTTCGAATCTATTTAAGAGTTTCTTCATGTTTTTCCAAACATTTCAAAAATGATGCCGCACGACAACATTACCCTCTAAATTTGTACTTTTTTTTCTATCTACGTAAGTTTTTAAAACTTTTTTGTGCCCAAAAAATACCTTAAGTTTACTGCTGCCAATAAAAAAATTAAAAAGTATTTAAAAGTAATTAAATGTTTAAAAAAGTAGGTGGCCCCTTCTAATCGCCTGGCTTCGTATACCCCACCTTCCCTAAGTTTTGACATTTCAGTTTTAACTGTCAATAAAATCACCTCTTACACATCATCCTTGTACAAGAATATTTTATAAATAAAAAGCTCCAGAGGACTGCAGCTTGTAAGTCCAGAATTTGTTTAAGCTTCTGTGGAGTTTTTACTTGACGCAAATTTTCAGGTGTTGATCATTGAAAAAGAATTAGTAAGATTAGATTTAAGTAAGCCCATTACATTCAGGTGTGTCTTAGCTGGCTCTTATCTCGGCCTATTGAATCAACATAGGATCTTAAAGATACAACTCATTTGGCATTTCACACAACTGAAGATCGATTACTACAACAAGTTTAACAAAATTCTTTGATAGTGAAAGATATTCCCTTCAGTAAGGCCTCTTTGTCATAAAAAAAGAAAGAGTGTGAAGATTAATTTGTTACTACTCATAGTAGACCCCTCAAAAATAAATTTAAACTCAGGTTACGCTTTAAAGATAAAAAAAATTTAATTTCTTGTAGTAAACAATCTCTGCTAAGAATTAAAATATTTAACAAAGTTTGCTCGATTTGAGAAAATAGACATGTAACGATTCTACTTTCTTGAAACAGATCCCTGTTAAGTCAAAATTTAACTTAAGATAACTTTAATTTTAATATTAGAATGGATCCTCATATGAAGTTTTTTTTAAGATCAATTTGTTAACTACTCTTCAAAATCGGATAAAACGTTTCCTTACATTGCTTAAATTTTTAACCTGTTGGGTTAGCTAGTTTCTATAAATATAAGGCCATAATTTAATTCAAAAGTTGAGGCTTTTACTGTTGAGTAAGGTAACTTTATTTTGTCTTAAAATTTTAAATAAATAGTAAGGTTGGCTTGAAGAAGTCAAGGCCAGTGGAATAAATCAAACTTTCCCGAAATAACTTTTATAGTTCGAAAGTGAATACAGTAACATTACATGATTATTCTAATGCTCCACAAGTCTATGCAACTGCTTTGTTTTTAAAGATTCAAGTAAAACATTCGGATCACGTAATTTATTAGTAGCTAAGAGCAAGATAGCACTAATCAAAACTTATTTCTATAGATAGAAACTCTGTACTGCTCGTTTTCTTGCGAAGCTCGTTCATTATAACATAGCTCTTGTATCACACTTTCAGCCAGAAGTTCACACTTAGACTATTCAGAAGTAGTTTTATCTTGATTAACTGATTTGTCCTAAGAATGACCAAGCCAACCTATGTTGCAAATAGGTGCTCACAGATTCAGACTCATTGTCTTTCAGCAAAGTGGTGTTACATTAGTAGTAAAAAAAATCCAGTCGATATAGCATATAGAGGTATTTTTTCATTAAATCATTTAAATCAAGAGTTATAGATTAAAGAATAAAAAATTTCTTATACATGAAACAGGAGAAATAAAAAAATAACCTTTTAAGGAAAAGACAAATAAGTCAGTGGAAGTCCTTAACGTAAATAAATAATTGATTTTCCGTAGATTATAGTTTAGATACTTAAGTTGGTCTAGATTATTAAAAATCACTGCAAATATTATACATTTTTTTTACAAACTTCCACATCAATTACAAAAAAAAGTAAAACTTTTTCTTAAGGAAGTTAAGCACTAAATGAAGCTAATTAAAAACTTTTTTTTGTATCAGTTGACTTTTTTGAATGGTTTTTTTTTAACAGAAAATAATACGATTGTGTTGAATACTTTAGAGTTATAAAATATTCGATCTTACTAGTTATATTTTTCAATGTGTAGTGGCTGATCTCAAGTAATTGTAGTCGAAACAATTTTGTTCACGCCAGGCTGAAATTCACATTACCTTAAGTGCACTTACACTGGCCTCGGTATCACATTGCGTTCCATAGTGACGTATGAATGATGTTCTGCACAATCCTAATGTATAAGCGGAACGTTGATCTACACAGAATAATGTGGAGTCAGGATCTGATCATACCTTCCACATATAATCAGCTGCTTACAGTAAAGTATGGTGCTTCTTGCTCGCCGTACCTATCTCTCTGCACTGTTGATATTAACAACCTGCACTACGAGTAGTTGGTTTGGGGTTGCCGTGTTTTTGCAAATTGACTCTTTTTATTGAAAGACGATTTACGTGTAAAAAAGTACATGTGATATCAATCAACAGTTATTGAATAAATAAACGACGCATATTTATTTTATTAAAAACAAAGAGGATAAACAGGGTCTTGACTGTGCTTAACGATTAAATAGGAATGTAGTGAATTTATAAAAATTTTTGTATTCTCTCATTATGTGATACATTATTTAAACTCAATTGCAAAAATATAACATAAAAATAATCATACTAAAAACTTACTTTTATCGAGCCACTGGTAAATATATTTTTCTGCGATAACGAGATGATGAAATACAAAAATATAATCTTTCTTTATGTATGCGTTTCTACAACAAACTTTTTATGGTAGTTTTACGGTTCAAACATAGAATCTTCTCGTTTCAGCAGTATCAGAAAAAATGAGTAAAAATTACTCACTTTTGATTATGGTAGTTTGGTCGACTTATTGAAGCAAGACCGTCTAAAAAAAATAAAACTCTTTCGTTTTTCACACCCTCAGAATACCTTGGTTTTTCCTCTCAACGCCCTCCACATAATTTACTCCACCGATTCTGCTGAAAAATTTCACGAATCATCGAGAAAAATATAGTCCCCACGACAACTCCTGCTCTCGCATCGTCCTCATCTTGGCTTTATTGATGTTTTTGCAAAATTTTCTAAGCAGTAACTGGATTACATACAAAAATATTTTAGATTCCTTCCAGTATGGCTCTCTGTATCTCGTGAAGATTAACTGCAAGAAATGTTGCTCAGTCTGATTCATGAGTCTCCCACTTGTTGTTTTATTCAGACCCTTTGGATGATCTTTAAGCGCTTTTCACGATTACATGTCCTGCTAAACTCTCTCGTGTGTCGTTGTCGATGAATGCGATAGAGCCTCCACTGAGAGACCGCAATATTAGTCTCATCGCTTTTTACACCCAATGAAATAAGTACGCTCTGCATGGCCTGCATGTTTTTATGGTAGGGAATATGAGTTGGAGGAAATGAAGGTGGTGTTTTTATTTGAAACATTGGAAAGCTAGAGGTCTAAAAAGTTTTCCTTAGTTCTACGCAAAATTTTGTAAAATAAGATTTGTATACGTACATGCACATGTGTCTTAGCTGGTATGTGTAAGGGCTTGTTTTTCGGAATTATATGTTAAACGAAGTGTGTAAACATTTAAAAAACTTTGAAGTAAAAGCTCACAGCATAAGAAATACGTTAAATGTATTAGAAAGTGAGATACTAAACGTATAATAATAAGTATAACTCTTACATTTTATATAACTTTGTAAAGTTTGTGGTAAGGATTTCTTACTATAATGTGAGTAGAGTTACTTAATAAATTCCATTATTTATGCTACTATTTACATAAACTTAAGGTGTATGTATTAGTGCTAGTATTCTGTATACCCATGATCATAACTGTTATAATTTCATTTCTACCAAACTAAGTGTAGACACGATTTATTTTTTTTTGTTCTTTTATTGCTTTTTATATTGAATGTAATCTCAATTTTTTTAAGCAGAAATCATACATTCTTACATTTTCCTTTTTTTTTATAGGTCATATATTACTTACTTTGAAAATGACATGATATTTTTTTAAAATCATTTTCCTCTTTCATTTTCACAGTACTCAAGACTTAAAAAAGAACATACTTAAAACGTTTTTTCTGTATACCCCCGCTGAAAGTGTTTCATATCTGCTCTGCTCCAAAACAGATAATCAGCTTTTCTGACAAGGGTACGTTTGGAGATTAAAAAGTACCCTGGATTTCACGTTATCTGCCCTTAGCTTTGCCTCGGGGTATTCATGTGAAATCTCTGACATTCTTAACCTGGCTCACGAGGTGCGAAACATACCATTGTACACATTTGTACAGAATAGTGTTTTTTCATTTATATAACAACTTTTTCAAGATAAAAATAAATTCATTAAAAAGTGATCACGTCTTGGTAACAAATTTAAACATTAATAGTAGAAAAATTTTGAGCCATATTCCAGCAAGTACGAAATATATTTACGAGATCTTTATAAATTTTTTCAAACGTAACTTGTAAAAATAACTTATGCTGAAAGCTTATATTATACCATTTGTTACAAAAAAGCCATGCTGACAACCCAACTTTATTTCAAGATTTAAGCAATAAAAGAGATGAGGTGTACAAAAGCTCATATAACAGAAATACTTTTGTAACATCAGATACTTATCAGCTCTGTCTTACTCTAGTCATTTTCTGCATTGTAAAAGCTCAATACTTTTTCTTTAATGTCTTATAACAAAGGAAGAATGTCTATTTTAGCACAAATACATTTTTTCTCTAAATTAATGTACAAAAAGTTTTCAAGTAGTATCCATCATGACTACAATTAGTTTTTCAGTATAATAATCTTATTAATGGTTTTATTTTTTATCCCAACAGTTTAACGTTGACGAAGAAGCAGGAAAACGTCAAATCTATCATAGGTACTGTATGGAACGAGCAGCTACACATTTATCACACATATTTACTACAGTGTCTGATATAACAGGATTTGAATCGGAACATTTACTTAAAAGAAGACCTGATGTTATAACACCAAATGGATTAAATGTTAAAAAATTTTCTGCCATACATGAATTTCAGAATCTGCATGCTGTAAACAAAGAAAAAATTCATGAGTTTATTCGAGGTCATTTTTATGGGTAAATATATGAATCTACTTTATAAATTATTTTTTTTAAAGCTCAAGTTGTAGTTTGAAAATGTTTTCTTGTATTCATTGCTTTAGAACGTTTCCATGTAATATATTTATTTTCAAGTGAAATGTACAATTGCGTTGATATTTGATTGCTAAAGCTACCTAGTTTTTTTTTTAAGACAAAATGGCGTTAGATTTTAGTTGCTGATAATTACAAAACAAAATATGCTTTTCTAATAACTAAACCTACAATTAAAAAGCTATGTGAGGACTCACGTAATAACTATATACATGTTTTGTATACAGTTTTTAATAAGTGGTTGATAAAAATGTTCTTGACCAGGATGATAATACTAGTAAAACATTGATAAAAAAATAAAATTAGTAAATTAAAAGACAAAAATAAGTATAAAACTCAAGGGAGAAGTGGACGCAAGAGCTTTAATAGTATTAAAGAGCAATAAACGATAATAAATAAGAATACATGCTTACATATATGCACATGGACATGTAAAGTGCATCTTTGGGTGTGCATGTAAAAATGTATATAAATTTGGCCTGTGTGGTACACACATACATATACATTCACATAAATACACATGTGTATATGTTGATGCTAATACATGTATAAAAAAATGAGTTCTTGTCTTTATCATGCCTTGTAAAGTTTGACTTACCCTGGAACTTTCGTTAGTATGCATAACAGAACTGGGCGAGTATTTTAGTGACCCTCTTCATAGTTTTTCTTAATACATTATGTGATAAATCACGTAGCGTTTTAAGTAGCCTGTATCATTCTAATAATACATACTAATGAAATTTTTAAAGTAATAAAATAGAAAACATTTGACTGACCTTACTCTAAAGAGAACGCAGTGAATAAGTAAAAATTACGTTATGAATATAAATTTTAGAAAAACGAATTCTTTTCGATTTTTCTAGTATTTCCTAAATACCTTCAACAACAGAGAAATTTATAAAAAGTTATTGTACTCAAACTTTATCTTATATTATCAATCAGCTGACGAGTATCTAAAGCCTCCTATCAAGTGGTACAAATAGTTGTATTTCTTGAAATGATTCGTCAACCATGCAAAATTGTACAATCAAAATTTAAAAAAGATCAAGTTTTTTTTTTTTTTCAGCTTAGTATACTTTTGTGTATTACACTAGCAGCATTGAGATGTCTCATACCTAACACTAGTAGTCTTGAAATATTTATAATTTTTATTCGTAGCGTATATTATAGGGGCATAATGAGACGAGGGCTAATCAAAGAATGAGAACAAAAACTTAAAGAATAAGACATAACTATGAGTAATGCTTTATTCCTCTTAATGCTAACATCATTACATTTTTTTTTATCGACAGAAATACAATAAAATTATTTTTAGGGCTGGTGTACGTTTGTTTCTAAGTCTTGGATGACATTTTTCTTACTGGAAGAGCGCAAAAAGCTTGCTGCATTTCGTGTTCATAGCGTGAACACTTAACGCCCTGAGGACGAAATATGCAATTATTACCACTAAATAAACTTTGGATGTTCTTGAAAACTGTATCATTGAACTCATTGGACCATCTTTAAATATTTGTCAAATGGTAGTTTTCGTCAGTGCCATCGTCTCTAGGGATATTTTGCTGCCCAAGGGATGTAAGGTAGCCGAGTGGTGTGGCGTTCCATTAAAATCCTGTTTCAATTAACTATGTTCTTGACCTTGCCTCATTTCAAAACTTGTAGTTGTTGATTTTTTTTTTTTTTTTTTTTTTTTTTTAATGCCGAAAGAATTCAACCTTTTGCTGTCTTACAGGTATTAAAGGTTATTGTTGTGGTTATCCCGAAATTCATACTTAAGAATTACAAATATCATGTAACAATAATAAACAGAACATACGGAAAACCATTAAGTTTTTTACAGTAAATAAACCTACGTACCCCATTTTTAAGTGAATAGGAGAACGCTCATTAAGATTATGCCTGATTCTTGAGTTAACTTTTTAGTGCTCCTATATTACTGGAAAACTGCCTTCTAATATAAAGCCAAGAAATTTTCAAGTACTATGTTATTAAAATCTTGTTTTTTAAATCTCCAAATTGTACTACTATTAAGATTGTTACTGCTGATTATTGAAAAAAAAGTTTAAAGCTGAATTCACGTCACATACTTGGTACGAGACTATATGGCTTCGATGTGACAGTTGGCATCCATTATTTTATTTAAAAAAATAATGAACTTTTGACCATTTTTTTTCTATGATGAAAAAATATCTAATATTTTTAAATCTTTTTTAAAAAGAAAAAAAAATAAAAAAACGAGTTCTTTCTTATACGATGAGAAACAGTTATTATTGGGAACGTATGGAATACTTTACTTATTTTTGACCCTTTTTTTGAGTAGTAACACTATATCAAGTTAACATAATGCACTAGCCTTAAATGTAAAGTTTCAGTCTAGTAAATACTGTAAACAAGTAGCAAGTCAGTTATTAGTACGAAAATTCTCTTTATTGATTATAAAAAAATAGGAAAAGATATATCAACTATATCTGAGTTATAAAATATAATGTCAATACAATAGCGAAGACATGCTATTTATTAAAAGAGTTTTTTAATTGTTATTAATTATATTGTAAGGTATCTCTTACCAACATTTTCATTCAAAAATTGAAAAAATATACAAAAATTTTTTCGTAACATTGAAACTTGTGTCACTTAGAGTAAGTTAGTACTTTTAAGTATTAAAATTTAGTATTAGTAATATACTTTTCTGCCCTCGGGTGGTTTTGGGAGGCTGGTACTTCCTCGGGCGAAAAAGCAGTTTTCCGGAACTCGTTCGAAAAGTCTCCTTTACGAACCTCGTTACAGACCTCGCCTTCGGCTCGGGCCGCAAACCTCTCGATTCGCAAACAAAGACTTTTCAAACTTGTAGGAAAACTACTATTTCATCATACCCTGCCGGAAAGTTCGCATTCCCCTCCTGATTTCAGATTGGGAAGTTATACATTTCTGACCAGAATGGGAATTCTTTTGTTGGCACTTATGTACCGCGCAACTCTCTTCTAGTTAGTTCCTCCTGTATCAGTCGTCAGCTACTGATGTGTATATAGTTATAGTCAACAATGTACTGTACTAAGCTGACGGAAACCAAAAAACTCGGATCATAACCTTAATACTTATGCCATTCCAATATGTAGTTTGCAGAGTGTAAAATTAATGATTTAAGCAAGCGAGTAGTGTAATACTCAACAATTCAAAACAATTAAGTACTCAGTATCTACATGTTTGAGCACTGTAAGCGTGCTGCGTGTATACGAATGAAGCTCAGAAACTTGCGTATTTGATGGCATACGTATAGGTCTGTTTTGTTTCCAAGTAGATTTATATACTAATATGATTCCCATCGTGCCTGTATAAACAATTTTAACATAAATTTTGTGCGTAATCAAATTGTATGTATAATTGAACAACTTCTATGAGTGTGGTTACTGCATACAGTACCGGAGTCGCTATACATTATTTTTTATTTCACTTGCTCTTTATTTCTCTAGAGTCTCTAGATCAACAAACGCATGAGGGTTCACAATGAACGACGGAACCACTGCGTGTTGGTTTTATATAAAATTCAGCAACAAACAACTTTTTTTGGGTCTCAAACTTCCTGCCAGGTGTAAAGAAAAATCGTATACGCCACTTGGCAGGAAAATAGCACATCACCGTTCGCGTATTTGACACCCTGGGCTTTGCCTTGATTGGCAATATACAGGCGGACGGCAATGTACTACTTTTCTGCCTCGTAACGTAATATACTATTTCCGCCTTCTAACCTCAAAATAGCACCTTCGCCACTTGATTATGGGTTCTCAGGCGGAAAAATAGTGTACAAAACTTGGTTCTTTATGAACCTCGTTACGGCCCTAGCCTTCGGCTCGTGCCTCTCGGTTCATAAGTTGAAGCCTTTGCAAACTCGTACGTAATATACTATTCAAAACACTGGTAAATGTCTTACTTTTTTTCACCCCTTTTCTTTTTTAAAAGAAACTTTTATTTTTACTATTATACTTATTTTTATTAATATCAGTTTTATTTAAATCTGCTATTGTGAAGAAGTTTGTACAAAATAAATAACATTATAGGTTAAGTCTATAATCACGAGCAAAGTTCAATTCAATTATTTGATTAACTGCGTAAAGTTACAACTATCTCAATTCACAACACCACGTAGAATGCTATTAAGGATATTTATGGATTAAAATATTTTATTATGTATTTTACTAAAACATTGAAAGGATGTTAGTAATAGTATTAGAATGTTAAAATAAAATTAAAAATTACTTTACTGCACTGTTTTTTTAAATATTAGGAGATTAAAAAATATATCTTAACGTACAAGAAGTACAATAAAATGGAATTACCAGTAAAATGATTAAATACATTTTTTTATTGCTTTTTTAAAAATATATATCTATTACACAAATCTTATATTTAATTTTTAAAGAGATCCATTAGCTACTTTTAGAACACAACAATAATAACAGAATTCGTGAACACGGCAATGATAAAAAAATCGCTCAATTTTGTTTTCAAACTGCTAATCATCTCGTTTAACTTACTAAAAATTAAATTCTAGTATGATTGACCCGAACATTTACTGCATTTTGTTTCTTAGTGATTACTGTTTTAGCACTCGACCTTGCAAAGCCAATAGTTTTCTTATATTTAAGCTCCCGTATTATATTTCTTCTTTTCAGCGTGAAATGTTTATGTTCATTTAAAGTAATCTTATATTTTTGCATTACTTATTTTGAAAGAAAAGTATGGTACTTATTTAACTCAAGATATTTTGCGTAGACATTCGAACAATCAGTAATTTTTTCTTGTGCAGGGCTTAAAAGCTAGTTAATTTTAATTTACTGTTTTCTGTTTGGTTGTTAAAATATTAAAATTATTTTATTATCTATTACCGTTTTCTTAACCTACTCACATTTTTTTAATTTTAGGCAAAATTA